ATAATCTACTATTTCACATTATATATAGATATCAGTAACCCTGCGCTCTTTGAACCTACGTTGAAGTAACTCTAGTGGTAGTGCTATCAGCCGTGACGAGCTTCTGAAAGTACTTCGCATATCTAACAGCAACAACAACTGCCATGCTCATCTACTCTATGTTAACTTCACCTTTGGAAGCTTTGTGGCCACTTCGATGGTTCGATGAACTTGATAGTTGACCGAGAGCTCTCCGTTGAGGAAAGCCGATCGAGACCGCTGCTACCATCTCTCGGTGACTTGCTGTTATTATCCTGAAAGCTTCATTCTCTTCATTTCTCCATCATCAAGGTTTTTCGTGCTCTTCGAGTTGTTCGCATAATCGAGTTTTCCGATCTTTCCCAACACCTCCGCATATAGAGGAGTCGTTTGATCTATCTGATAGCCTCTCACGCTTCGTAGTTACGCCAGAATAATTCTGCACGCACGCACAACGCGAAAGTGCCTGTTGTTGCGGTATATGCTCCGCTCGCTCCGCAATGTAATATAACATATATTTTATAATAGCAATTTGATTTTATGATTCATAACCATTAACATTAATCTCGAATATAATAGAGGGCTAAATCATGTGAAGACAAACTACCGCAAACTCACCTCATTAGAAGCATACCGTTCTCTAAGATACGCCACGGCATCTCGCACAGACGCACACACTCCAGTCGAGACCAATCCAGCTATGATGAATAGTAAAGTTGTCGGCTGAGACAATAAGACCCCTTCAAGGCACTATGATAACACCGTTCCATATACAGAGATTAGTCTATGGCGCCAGTACCAGAAGAAGGGCTAAGGGGCGGGGATAAACTTTCCGTGGAAAATTCAATCCCAAAAAATTTTTTTCATTATATTCATCGGTTTCGTATTTTTTATAATATTTCCATACCGAACGGATTTCAGAATATTATTTTCAGAAGCGAGCACAATCCCAGCGCAAGTATACTCCTCTCAGGACGAGACTTATTACTCCGTCACCACCCATTCTCAAACACCGTCTTAGCTAGCACTAAGACCTCCTACTACTACTAAGCCTTAAACCTAGGGAAGTGTACACGTTACAAAAAAGAAGTAATACGCGCTAACCAGAAAGCGTCTACGACATTCAAAACTTTCGATGAAAAAAAAATTGTTTTTTCTCCAATTTTTCTGAATTTGATCTATAATCTCCTGACATCGAACTCTCTACCGTGTAACACACTATCTACCGGTTCATACTGCAGGGCTCAGACAGCAGTGACTGAGCCTGCAGCCATACCTCTATACTGGCTATTGCTCGCCTGGTCGAAGGGGTACTGTGCAAGAATAAGAATCTCCTATTATATTATCATCATATACACTAGTTTTCATTTTTCACCAACTTTAAGGATCTTAATTTCCGCCTCTCCCCCCCACATACAGATGTGTCCCGACAGTGAATAACAGCCACAAACCTAGTGCGGTCCAGGTGCAACCAAAACATTAGCGATGAACAGAACCTCGTGAGGAGCTCTGCATGGAAGAATATCCCTCATTGAAGGACTAGGCAGAGGACTAGTTACCAATGCTCGGAGGAGCTACAGAGAGACTCCGTTCTTTAGGCGATGAAGTAGATAGGGTGAAATTGAGGACCTGAGAGCAGAAATATACCGTAAAAGTTACAAGAAAATACCTTTTTATTGCAAAAAAAGACTGTAAAAAGATGAAAAATATTGTAAGAAGATGAAAATTACTGTAAAATATTCTAAAAAGATGAACAATACTGTGAAACATTGTAAAAACACTGTTAAATGGTGTAAAAATACTGTGAAATATTGTGAAATATTGTGAAAATGCTGTGAAATACTGTAACAAGATGAAGAAAGAATGTTAACAAATAAAAAATACTGTGAAATTTGTGTAAAGATGGGAAGTACTGTAAAATATTGTACGTCTCATCCATAGCTCATCTCCATCACAGCAATGATTACTACAGGCCTCATACCATTCCATCCTCCCATTTTACGCCCTCGTTCGAGATTCACGACTACTATTATCACGTCAGAACCACCAGAATGCCGTTATCAAGGCGCAGTAGTGCCATGTGTTACCATCACTGTGCTTAGAATTAACAAATGATGTTCAGAATAAATAATTTAGTTGCATCGAATTGAACCCGCGACCTCCCCCACCTGATTCCGGAACTTCTCCGGTTCCACCAATGACCTCTGCGATCGCTCTATGTTCCAAACGACAAAGTTACAGCCGTAGCGGTTGCGAAGATACTCCGAAACAACGTTAATGTTATTCCGATGTGCCTGGGGACCACACAATGACATCCCCAAAAAAAGAAGATTTGGGTCATTCGGGGACACTCCTATAGAATGAGGGCCGCCGAGGGAGTTGATATTACAATAGGTTCCCATCAGTCGGTGTAAACTTCCAGCATATAGACGTTTCAACTTATACAATGAAGTTTCACAACCCGCTTTACGTGAAGTGGCGTAAAACTCGGTGAAAAACGCGATATTCGCGGTGATATGCAGTGGTCGTTAGTGTTTTTCATATCACTAGGGTTGAAACTCCAATGAATAATAACCGCTGTCACTCAAAAATTTGGATATTTTATTTCGGAAATTCGGCTTTCTCATTCGAGAAATCGATCGATCATTCACGACCAATTTCAACTCTCAATACTCTTATACATACTCGAGCGATGTGGGGGGAAATTTTCCCGAAAAATGTTGGCGACAACGAGAGAATTTTGCGAAATTTCACGCCAGGTCGTGAGTACATTCCCATAGTGCAGTAAACAAACTCCTGCGCTCTGCTAAGAGAACCAACACTACTATAAAGTTACCTTCCGATCACTAGGCATTTGCCAGGGACTCCTCATAACGACTATCCTAGCCGCTAGGAAATCCATATCAAGATCGCCGTCAATGCCCGAGTCTGCTACCCACGTTGGGATTTCTTCAACTACTCTACTACAACTATCATCGTCATCATTCTGACTACGTTCAACACCACTTGTTGTCGTTTCCATACCACACCAGCGCCAACAAGACGCTGAATAAACATCAACATTCACTACAACTCCACACCCTAGATACTACTAGAAACAACGCATACTAAACAACAGCAATGATCAACCTTTCTAGCTCAACTCCGCCGTATTTCCCCTCGATTCGTTATCTTGCAAAATCTTGGCCTGCTCAGCGTTGTGCTCCGCAAACCGCAACGCCACCCGTTGAGAATACCCCACGAACTTCGTCACACATCTTTTAGTACAGTCCATCTGATAAAGACAAAAATGGCAAACATGAATCGCTTCGCTCCGCCCTTCTCTCCTTACCTCTTCTGCGTTGACTTTCTTCTCCTGGAAACTTCTAATGCAAGTGGCGAAACATCTGTTGACCATGTTGTTGTAGGTGTTCATCGAATCGCGCATCTAGGG